CACATAAAGAAAAATCAAATCAGGTAAATTAACATGTACCGATTTTCAAAGAAACGAAGTCAATTTATTGAAAAGTCGAATCTCTGAAACAGAATAAATTTACTTAAAATCGTACTTTAGAAAAATATAATACATTTATGATTAGAATTTATTAATTTAATATTACATCGTTGAAGGCTTCTTCCATTAAATTCCTCAGATGTCTACGTGATTCATTTTCGACTTAATATCAATATTGGTTAGACTTCAGAAATTTTTTATGTTTGAAGGTAAAAACACACACATCATTTTCGAATTTTGTCTGTAAACAAAAATTTGCATATGTGGGTAAAAAAAAATAGAATTTATCCAAAAGTGTAGGCAGTGCAGGTGCAGGATTACTTGGTACTTTGATTATCGTCTGACAATCTCAGTTACTTAACTCGACCAGTGGCTTGCTTTCACCAGTATAGAGGCTAAATTGGGTATACTATTAGGTCGTTTGTTACCTAATCAGTCCATCGAAGATTCAGGAATTCTTAAGCGCATTTCTAACTGGAACAAGAGCAAGCTAGCAAAGCTGCTGAATTTTAGTACACTAACCTATATTAATATATAGTTCAACATGTTTAAAACCAAGGAAGGAATTTTCCTTTTAATTGCTTATAATACCTTTTCATCGTTGTTAGTTATTGTTCAAGCATCTAAAATATTAGATGAATTATTTACAGCATCTTAGATATTAATACACCCACTTTCAATTTAAATAAATATCTATTAAAATGTAAGGTCTTCTAACAATAATTCACCCCGACTACTTGTGGTAGTCCTAAACCTTAAATACTAGATTTACCTTAAAATGTCTTTAATTTAACATGAAATAGTATTGTTAAATTCTTTTTTTAATTACTTGTTCATTAAATTCTTTCCCTATTCCCCGCATGTACTTCTTAAGTGATTTGATTTAGTAGTTCGAGCATACTCTGAGCCCATAAGTTGGTTTATTTTTTTTCCTTATACAAAGTCACAACAATTCAGTTTAATTAAACTAAAAAGTTAGAAGTTTCGATTTAGTTTACCGTGCATCTACACTGGCTAAACTTTGGCATGATTTTTGCATATATTCTTACTTTTTCACTGACGCATATTAAGTTTTATTCGCAGACAAAATTTGAAAACAATATATAGGTATAGACTTTCGAACATAAAAACCTTGCTAAAGTCTAGCCAGTGTAGACGTCGAGTCATAAGCAACTCACAGCTCTATTTTAAGCTTTACATATGAAAACCATATACAATAGAATTCGTATCACTTTAAGATAAGGTTTGGATGAGGTAAGCAACCAAACTAAAAATCACACCTATAACAAATCTACGATATGGCAAAATATTCTGTAAATTAAAGTTTATTTCTAATGAATTTAAAAAATTATTATATTAAATTGATTGATTTTTCTTAAAAACGCTCGATTTATTCTCTAATATGGAAATATACTATTTATTTAAGATTATAACTGTTTTTTGAAGCATAAAAGATTTGTGTGTATTAGCAAATAAATTTAAATAAATTATGACAAAATCATCTACATACATATGTATATACAAAAAATAAATTAAATTTAATGAAATTTAGCAATGAGAAGTTCAAATTTAGACAAATCGGGCTTTGCCGTATGGCGACCACGCAAGCAATTCTTCCAACAACAACGACAAACGTCTGTATGTATGACAATATGAACTGATCTTAAACTGGTTTGAAACCGGCGATGACGTTATGGTAGTGATTGAAGCGGCTGTTTTTAACAGTTTCTAGCTCATTGCGAACATGGAATCATTGCCATGAATGGAGCGGTCTCATATAACAGCTACACATTTTAGTAATTCATACAATTACAAGGGGGAGGGAGTGGCTGTAGTTGAATCCAATTTAACATTTTCTCCAGTCTTATTAAATAAAGTAGGTGGCAGTATGTAGGTGTAGGTTTGTTTATAAGTTAAAAAGCAAGTATTCATTAAAATCCTAACAAAAAAAATAATAAAAAGTAATAAGAAATTATCGCAAGATGGTTAATAAGTAAGTGACTGTTTTTATGCATATACTATGTATGTATATGTATTATTTTATAAAATAATTATATATGAAGATCTAAAAACTTAAGAACACTTTTTGACCTCTCTGACTAGCAATAATCATTGCACCTCTAAAATTGATAAAGCTAGCAACGATACTTCAAACCCCAGCAAAACTATTTGACAAAGACCCACTAGTTTTAGCAAAGTAATAAAGCAACACATTGGTTAAACCAAAATATCTTGTCCATTTATGTAAATTGTCATTTCTTCAATTATAATAAATAATGATATATAATAAATGATTCTTTTATTTTTATTTTTATTTTACCAACAAATGAAGATTTACGTATCAAATTGCGATATCCTGAGTTTTTACACATCGGAAGCTCTTCTGTATTATCAAAATAATATTTATTTGTACTAGAGAAACTTACCCGAAAAATGAAAAGGACAATACCAACTACGGCAGGTGTGACAAAACTCGTAAGACATTAGCTTAGTTGTTTTGCGAATGCTTGACTACATCGAAGTACATCAAATACAACCTTCATTTTGATTTCACTATCAAACTAAAAGAAGACTTAATATATTACTATTCAATACTCTTCAATTCCATTATAATTTGATATAAATATACTATAAATTTATTTCTCATCTTCATTCGAGATTGTGACCTTAAAATAACAATAATTCAATGGATTTTACAGGCCAATTTTTTGTAGACCCCACCCCATCTATATGCATACTATCTCTGATAACTTAGTTGAGTTTAATAGATAAAATATAATAAAATTTGATTTGAATTTGATGAAATATAATAAAGTTTATAATTTTTTTCATATCTTAAAATATAATCAAAATAACTAAAACTAAAGTGTCCAAACATTGTGCAAAAGGATACTTTAATGGTTAGTCATACGTTGAAGTAGGATGATGGTCTTTTAATTTGTGTACCTGGCAAATACATACCGTGATTACCACTTTGTATAGTAACTATGGTGACTATTTCCATAATTGACAAAATAGTATATAAAATGACATAATAGAGAACACGAAAGCTCGTTCATATGAAAAAAATAACTCTAAAATCATAACATGAAAAAACCACAGTGTCGGTAATAAGTACTGATACAGACTATCTGAAGTTGTGTTTCTGTTAATATATGCAAATTGTATATTTGATTAACCATACATATGTATGAACATAACCATTATTTATAAGAATTGAACATTTTTTTTACTTATATTAACAATAAAAAGAAATCCGTAACTAAATCTTTTTGCGTTTTTTAAAAACATGTCTCACTTTTAATAAATCTTTTAGAAATTTTTGCAATACAGTTTTCCATCGCATTATCTATTAACTATAATTATTGTTTGTTATGCATAAATATTATATGAAATAATAAGATCTTAAGATCTTTGATAAGATGAATTGAAGATTAGTTTTCTCCAGATAATTCGAAGTGGTAATCAGTGACCTATCAACTTGGAGAAACAGCAAAATTATCTTAAAAAAGGTACCCTTTAGTCTTATCTTACTGATGGGTCCAAAATGAAAGATGACAGTGCAGGAACAGGAATTATAAGACTGAAGTTCTGCAAATCAATCGCAATGGGAAAAACCTCTTCCATTTTTTGAGCAAAGGTCCATGCATACCATCCGAGGTACCAAAATATATACTCTTTTGTACAACCAAGCAGCTCTAAAATCTTTAACAAACTCTTCATTCCAATCAAAGTTGGTCGTGGAATGCTTTCACCTTCTTAATACTTTAGCATAGAGAAATTATGTTACTCTTATATGGGTACAGGGACATAAAGTGCATAAGGACAATTAAATAGCGGATTCCCTAGTAAAGAAGGGTGCATGTGCGCGTTTCATTGGTCCAGAGCCCTTCTGCGGGGTAACAAATAGTTTTACAAATAACTCATTATGTGAATAGGAGAAACAAAATCTACTTCAACACTGTAGAACTCAAATAGGCATGCAGTAGTCAAGAAGATTAATTGATCTTCAATACATCAAAGTAGACGCTATCCTGAACCTTAGCAGATATGATATTAAAATCTACACTAAATTTCTTATAGAACACTGTAGACTCAATTACCACATGAAGAATATTGGTACGGTAGAAAGTGATTGATATGCTATATAACTGCCCAGCGGCGACAAGACGTAGATTTGATTATCTTAGAAACAGAATCTTAGTCCCAATTCAAATAAGTAAAATTAAGCCTACAGCAATTATGATATTTATAAATAATCTAGAATTCTATTAGTTGGTATTTAGGCGTACAATAGATCTTTTAGGTCGGGGTGCATTCATAGCCTATTATTTTATAATAATAATAATCCTTAAAAACTAATCCAGTGTGCTCTTATTCATTTAAATTTACTCTGCAGATATAAAAGTATAATGGCGTTTTTGATTGGTAAATCTCGATACAATCTATATTTATTCTCGATCTGACAAATTCAGTTACCTAATCAATAATTTTAGGAATAATTCAACATTTTTCTGGTTGTGTTAATAGGCATTTAAGTTTTTCATAAATACATACATATCAAATCAAATTTTATTTGTCTGGTTATACAAAACAGCTGTTAATTTTCGGGTAATATTGCTACTATGACAAAATATTTACAGCGTTATAGATTAATCTCGAGTGTTATACATTTCGCTTAAGATTTATAAATCCAAAATGAATTTCACGGTAAAAGTGTATCTCCATTGGAAAAGTTACGCCAGATTTACCAACTAAAAACAGCATAAGAGTATAACAACATAAAAATATAATATTCTTTTTATAACACGAATAAATTTTTTATATATTGTATGTAAGTATGTATGTAAGTACATACATTGTTAGTATTGCATTGGAATAGTAATCATCTAATTATAAATAGTACGTTTTTTATAATATTTAAAATATTAATATTAAATCCAATGTAGTAATATCTATTAACTTCTGAACAAAATGTGTTCAGTGTGTGTTTCCACCTCTAACACTGAGAACTGTATTATCGATAAGCCTGCACTATCAACAAACAAACAACAAATTCATTGTGTAAAAAGAAAAATCCAGCAGATTGCGAAAAAATATTTATACAAAATTTACTACTAAATGATGACTTTAACGAAAACAATTGACCAAGCAACTATTTTAACCGGAGATCGGTCGAAGTATGTCGAATGATTTTATTTAATTTTATTGACATTTTCATAAATTGTAAATTATTTTACAGGTTAAAAGATTTACTGGCAAGTCGTTTGGCCGAGTGTGGTTGGCGTGATGAAGTACGTCTTATGTGTCGGAATACGATTAAGGTAAAAGAATAAGTACATATTTATTTATTTTTAATTATGCAATATTGTATATCTTCATATTATCAGGAAAAAGGAACAAATATAAAAGTTGAGCAACTTATTGCTGATATTACGCCAAAAGCACGCACACTTGTACCTGATACTGTCAAAATGGAGTTATTAATGAAAATTAAAACTATACTTGCTAAGCAAGAAGGTATAGATTTGTAGGAAAACGAGTTATTTTTAATACAGTAAAAATTATGTATTGAAAGTTTTAAATAAGGCTGAAGTTTGTAATTTATTGATTTGCAAAAATATATATGTGGACACAAATGCTTTAAAAGTATTTTCAATAAATTAAAAAATTTCTGAAGTAAAATACTCATAATTAATGAAGATTAAATTACATGAAATATTCAATACATATAACGTTAATTCGAGTATCGTTAATACAAATCAAAACCCTTAAATTCTTCCTTTCAATTTGAAGAAGTTTAGGAATTGTATTGATCAAATTCTTCTTAACTTTCAAAGTCAATTTTAATAATATTTGTTACATGTATGTAGTATTTATTTAGATTGCTAATTATTTTAATACTTTTTGTAAACAATTTTATTATGTATTCAATAATTTTTATTTAAAAATATAATTTAAGGCAGAATATAGAAAACATTTAAAAAAGAGCAATAATATTTAGAAAATTTGTATGAAATTAAATAGTTTAAATTATGAAATTTAGTATAGTTTTAAAATTAATTCGTATACTATCTATTGATTTATGTGTAAATTATTTTTGTAGAAACCAAATTTATTTTATTTTTATTCATGAAATAACTTGAAAATCCGTTATACCGTTGTAAATGAAAATAAATAAATGTTTATGATGTATTTTAAATTTCTGTATGTGATTTGTAATTAAATATTAATAAATATAAATTATGCTTAATGTTTTTAAAATCAAAGAGTAGTGTTAACTTTACCTCTAGCTCGGCTATAAAACTTAATATTCATATTAAATAAAACCGAGCAATTTTAATGAAAAAAATTAAAATCTAGTAGCTATCTCTACTATAGTCTGAGAGCTTTTATAATAATTTATTAAAATTAATTTGGCCCCAACGTCTGTGTTGTGCTTCCAACAATAAAGTCGATAACTAATTGAACGTTCTATGCTGAGGTAACACGATTTAAGCTTTGTCTCGGCTTAAAGCTACAACTGCGTAGAAAGGATTATTAAAACACTTAAAGTTTCCATTTAAAGCATCCAGCAAGCACTGTTATATAGTGAGCGCAATTTACTTAGACGCACTTAATATTTTTTCAAAAATGATACAACGAACTCGAATATAAATGTTTTTTTTGTTGAAAAAGAAAAAGCAGTGCTTGATAGTAAAAAACAAAAAAGAAATATATTTCATATCAGTCATTCTTCTTACATATGTACAAAAACACAAAAATAAGGCAAAATAAACGCGCAATTTTCTTAGGCGCACTATGTTTAAACAAAAGAAATCAAAGAGTTTTCACAGTTTTGACAATGCTTAATACTTTGTAATTCCTCCGTTTTGGTTTATAACTGAAAAAATTCGATTTGGCATCGAATCTATCAATTTTTTGATAATCACATCGTCGATTTTGTCCCAAGCCTCTTGGCTTGATGCTTTGAGCTCACTCACTGTGGAATACTGACGTCCGTTGGCATAGACCTTCCGTGAAATTATTCCCCATAGGTTCTCAATGGGTTTTAGGTCAGGACTCCTTGCTGGCCAATTCATTACCGTTATCTGCTTCGATGAGAAGTAAGACTTTGAAAGCTTGGATACATGAATGGCGGCGTTATCCTGCTGGAAAATTAGATCCCGATCGGCGTGTTCCTCCAGAAACTTTATAAGAACGTCATCCAGCATTTCAGTGTACTTCTATGAGTTCATTCTTGTATTTATGAAGCACAAAGTAAGTTTTCCATGGAGTGAAAAACCACCCCATATCATGACAAATCAGCCTCCAAAGTTTCTACTCATTCTTATGGGAAAGTTTTGGCGAAGATCATGCCAGTAAGAGCTGAAACCGTCTGGCCCGTCCAAGTTAAATTTTTTCTCGTCCGAAAAAATAACCGAGTGCCATTCTTTGGTCCAATGCATATGATTTTTAGCAAAAACAATGCGATTCTTCTTGTGCATTTCTTTCAGAGGGGGCCGTTTCATCATTTTCTTCCATTTTATGTGGCCATCTGCATGTAAAATTTGCAGCACTCTTCTTTTTTTAACTGGTAGCTGCAATTTTGATGCGATTTGAGCTGCACTGAGCCGATTTTTTGTTGCTTCTTCCTTTATTTGGTTTTTGAGTCGCCGATTTATCTTTGCATTTCGCTTGTTATTCGTAGGGGCTTTACCATATTCCTCACCCAAACGTAAAAAATTTCTTACAACGTGTTCCGATCGGTTTATGTGGCCTGCAATTTTCCTCTTTGAGAATCCATTTTGATGTAAACACCCTATTTTGGCTTTTTCTTCAGCGCTCAGAAATTTTCCCTTTGCCATTCGACTTGCGCAAATGCGGAGCCTATTTCGTAAAGAATTTGTATGGTTTTTGCTTTTAGAATATTAGCTCAAATATTAATGTGTTATGAAATACAAACCTTCTTACAGAACAATCAAATAAACTAGTCCGAACTACCGAAACAAATATATGCGTCTATAGAAATTGCGCACTTACTTAGCTTCTTTTTTATGAAATTCATCATTATAACTTTGCAAAATAAAAATCACATTCCTTTTATGTTTGTTTACGTTTAGTAATGGAAAAGAAAAAACAATAATGAAAAAAGATCAATAGCTTTGCTCTTTAACAAAAATAAAAGCATTTTTTTTGAGTGCGTCTAAGTAAATTTCGCTCACTGTATTATAAAAACGTTAAAATTCGTCCGAAAGCTTTTGTTTTGATCGAGCATATATGTATATAAATGTTTGCACTTTCTACTTTATTAAAAGCATTCATATTAAAGCTTTTGCAGCTCGTTGAACGCTGCGGTATGCGATATCAATATCAAAACAGTTTCTTTTCTTTCCGTTTCGATTTTGCAATAAAGATTTAACGCTTAAGTTTCAGAGCTCAAAAGAGTTCAATTATTTGAATTATAGTTTCGATGATTTTTTTTGTTGCAGGTCGTGGCATAGACATCTGTTGTTGTTATTATTATAACTCGCATGGATTTGAAAGCAGATAACATGTAAGGATTACAAAACGAATACATGAGTTGGAATGTGGATGGGTGGTGTTTGGGGAACACGGCGTATAAAGAATGTATGGGACTGCAATTGAAATCAACCCGAGTCCAGACGAAGAAACCAGACTACTTTAAGGGAGTGAGTCTAAAGATAAACAACTGTCAGTTTTATTGCATGCCACTCCATACTTTTGTACTGGGACAAAATGTATGTCTAAAATTTGAATTGGCAAAACTAAATAAACTGAATATTTTAAAATGTCTAATGAAATCTTCCATAACTATTATCATGCATTTACGTTACTTAAGTATTTGTTATTGACCACTTAACCTACACCTCTAGACGTGTAGTAAGCTGTAATATTACTGAAATGTGCCTTACAGCATTGACCTTAAATAACAGAACAGTGATGTTTTGTATGACTACCGGTCATGTCACTTGACATACTGCTTTCAACTAAAAAACCAATTTCAAATGGTAGAATTTGTTGTAATATATGTGGAAAGATTTTTGCTTGTAAAAGTAGTTTACATCGCCGTGAACAAACGTACTTTGAACCCAACTTGGAATGCAGATTATGTGATCGTACATTTTTTCGTAGATATAAGCTTAAAAAACATTTAAATATCCAGGAAAAATCTAATATTAATTAAAACGGTATCTGTGGTCAATTTGGAGAACTGTGATTAATTTAAAGGAACTAGTGCATTAATGATACATATATGGCAGTACCTCTAAATCATTTCATTTGCTATTTACTAACGTTAAATAAAAACATATACGAAAGACAATGCAGCAGCACTATAGGCACTTAAAAAAATAAAACATTGATGCTTTTAATTCGGCACAAATGAATCTAAAACTACGATTAAACTAACTAAATGCTAAATGTGTACAAAAACATAAATTACGCCCAGCTGCAGAGGAACAACAGACATGGATTGTTTAGTTACTTTCTATTACACGTGCAAAATAGTATCTGTCACTTCTATGTAAGTATGGTGTCATTGCCACGAACAGAAATAAGAACTGCAATGCTTCGACAAATATCTGTGGTTTAAAAGACTACAATTAAAAGTCTAAACGGCTACAATTAAACGTCTTAACGGTTACCAAATTATGAATACAGGGAATAAAATAAAACTAAATATTTAATAAGTAGATGTAAGCAAAATCGTACAAACATAAAAAAATTCGAAACTATATTTGGGTAATCATAACTACTTTCTTCGGTTTCCTTTTTGCTATACATTTTCAGAAAGTTATAAGTTAAATTTTTAAACATTAACTGAATCAAATATGGTACATACAAGTAAAAAAATTATATTTTATCAATAAATACTTAAACTATAAAAATTGCATTACAGTCATAAACTAAGCGTAATTTAGTTTTATATCGAATTTAGTATTTGTGTATTTAACAAATTTAGTATCTGAAAGATTAAACTACTGAACTACAAAGTCCACAGTTGCTAACCGGACACATTTTCATTTGTGTATCTTCGCCAACACGTACCACTAGTGCCATGCCATTTTCTGAATGCGTCGATATATGACAGTGTAATATCCAATAACCAGGGTTATCCGCATAGAATCGTATAATTGTATATCCAAAAGCTGGCACTTGGACAGTGTCCTTGAGCGGAGCATTCCGATTCCGACGTGATAATGGAGTCTTCCTATCAATTTCCTCAATCTGTAATATAAATGTTATAGGTAAATCTAAGAAAATAAAAATGAACTTAACTACAAATTACATTGTTAATCAAATTTTCGCCTAAAACGCCCATACCCACAACACGGAAGGTGTACCCGTGCAAGTGTATGGGATGTGCAGAATTTGTTATGGCTGATATAACGAATTCAGTCTCCTTAAAGGCAGGCACCTGTATGACGTTAGTGCAGCGACAGTGTCTGCTGCGACAATTGAAACCCAAGTTTTCTTGATGGGTTTTATTACAAAAAAAGCGACCAATACCTAAGTTACGAGTTTGTAGCAAAGAGATTTTCGGTAAAGAAAAAGTGATATTGTCCATTTGAAATAGAAAGTTTCCTCGTTCATGTACGGCCATACTGATATAATGTGTACGTTGTTGTGACATAGGTGGCTCCAGACGTGGTTTCATCGAATTTGTTTCAACAATAGTTATACGTTCATCATTCTTAGTAGGAGCTTGGTCAAGTGGATTAAGCTTAATAATATAATAATTAATTTTTTTAGAGTAAAGTAAAGTAAAGAAAAGTAAAATAAAAACATACTTCCACACCTTCCGCTTCGTAGTCGTATGTTACCTCACCTTTAGGTCGTTCGGTTTGCTTAGCACCCATATAATGCAGTATGGCTTCTTGATGCAGGCTTTTGATTTTGCAAAAATTGTAAC